TTTTTTCCATAAAAAAAAAAATAAAAACAAGATTTATATTTTTTCATTTTCACCTTTCCCCTCCCCCCCCCCCCCCCCCCACCCCCAAAAAAAAAAAAGAAAAACTTTACTAACCTTAACTTGTATTAACGAGTGAAGTCAATGTCCTGGTGGAGTTGCTCATCATCTTCTTTGTCCTGTAAAAAGAAATAAAAAACAAGATCAGATTTTTGCAATTAACCTATCCTCCCCCCCCCAAAAAAAATTTTTTTTTACTAACCTTAATTTGTATCCACGAGTGAAGTCAATGTCCGGGTGGAGTTGCTCATCATTTTCTTTGCCCTCTAAAAAGAAATAAAAAGGAGATTAGATTTTTTTTCAATTTACAACCCCCCCCCCCCCGCACCTTAACCACCTTAACATATCTAATAAATAAGACTGTTAACAATAACAACAGACGCAGGTGACGGTTATATGCACAGACACATCTGTGTCTGTACATAAAAACAAAAAAGGGAAAAACACTCACTCACACTTGAGAGAAAATGCACATCAGCCTTAGAAGAGAAACACGACAACCAAACAAGCGTGACCTAAATAGGGCATATGAAGGTTTTGGTTCTAGCCTCAAAGGGCATTCAACTTTCAAAAACGACCTAGAAACATGGGGTTAGAGGAATATGACAGAAATGAAAAGAGAGTATGACATGGTGGTACTAACCCATCTCCAGTAGCTTGGATTTCAGTCCATTTACGATTAATTTTTTCTTCAGCGCTTATTCGACGTCTAAGAGCTGAGTGTTATTTGTACATGTACATTTCCCAGAGCGACGAGTTCGCGTGGATTGAAGGGTCAAATTCAGAGAAGCACACCATAAGGAAAAGACGAAACATTCGATGTTTTGTGCTAGTAAAGAAACTATCCTCAGGTTCGATGCATTGGCGTAGGATCACGTGAGATTTGAAGGCGGTTGCCCGAAGAAAATCTCTCTCACTTCTCGTCCTTTGTACTCCTCTGGAGTGAAACACAACATGTTCGCAACCGCTTCACAATTGCCCGCTCTTAGACTTCCAATCTTAGATTGTCGGCTGGGGGCGTTGCTGTCGTCACCATCTTGTCAGTTTGAACTCGGGGGTGTCGTGTGAGAGTGAGACCCAAATTTCATTATTGCATTGTATATACACCTACGTTTGAAATGCATTCAGCGTTTCATACCTAAACTTTTTTGTTTAAACAGAAAAAAACGCGCATTTACCTCGGAGGGAAGAATCAATGTTAGTTTTTGGAGGGAAACCACGCATGCCTCTCCCCCAATTATGATTGACAGTGTTCTTGCATTTTGTTGACATGATATCAACCTGAAGTTTACTAACCTGCCCCAGGCCATCATTGGACGACTTTGTCCGCTTACACTGGAACACTTATTCACAATATACACTGATCCACAATGAACTTTGAAGAAACTTTCATTTCATTTCTTGTTTCACAGATGATGATAATAAAGCTAAAGTTATAATACATTTTTGCAATAAATATTTATGTGGAGTTGTCCAGTTTTTTGGTAGCATTAATTTTCGAAGGAGAAAGGATAACGAAAGGATAATATACTTGGTGTGATTTAA